AGAAACAGATTGCACAACTTCGACGAATTATTAATGGTACCACGAACTGTCAATGATCTCGGTTTAACTCCTCTAAATTAATTAAGGCCAAACGTGAGTTACAAGACCTCCTTGCTAAGGAGGAACGATAAAGGGCAAAACGATCCCGAGTTAATTGGTTAATACAGACTGATCAGAATACAACGTTTTCCTATGCTAGATCAACCCAATGACAAAAGAATAACCTTATTCAGGGTTTGTATGAAGATGATAGTAACTGGACCAGTCAAAATCTGGTATTACAAAACTTTCAAAATTTATTCAAGACGGGTGACATACACCCAAATGAAGATATAATCAATACTATTGAATGAGTCGTTACATCGAAAATGAATATAGAGTTGACTAGGGATTACACTATTGAAGAAGTGACCACAGTTTTCTAGGGCATTAACCCTAACAAAGCTCCTGGACATGATGGTTGATCGGCTAGTTTTTTCCGATAACAATGGATTTAATTGGGACGGACATTGTCACACTTTGCCTTGATCTATTGACTAGAAAGCATGACATGGCTTCGGTTAATAAGACGATTCTAGTACTGATTCCCAAAGTTGAAAATGTGACACGCATGAAACAAATTAGGCCTATCAGTTTATGCAGGGTGGTGTATAAGATAATTTCTAAAGTCATAATTAATATATTGAAACCGATAATGAGTCGATGTATTAGTGATAAGCAAGTCGCCTTTCTTCCGGGGCGCCAAATATCGGATAATATTTTGGTAGCACGTAAACTAATTTATTATCTTAACTATTACATAAATGGGATTAACAAGGGTGTTGTGCTAAAATTGGATATCGAAAAGGCTTATGATAGAGTGGAATGGCTATTCTTCCGTAGTGTAATGCTTAAATTGAGATTCAATCACACATTTATTCAGTTGATCATGTCTTGTGTTACTTTGATCTCATTTGTAGCTCGAGTTAATGGCTCATTGTCACATGATTTTTCCAACTAGAGGCCTTAGATAGGGGGACCCTTATCCTCATTCATTTTTTTATTTGTCACGCAGGCTCTGTCTACATTGTTCCATAAGGCCCAATGAGAGAGGACTATTAAGACGTACAAGCATCTCAAAATAGCCCAAGGGTGTCCCATTTATTGTTTGCGGATGATAGTATAGTTTTCCTCAAGAATTTGACAAGAGAGGCATAGAGTATTAAATATATTTTAAACGTATTAACTAGAGTATTAAAGAATTTGACAATGAATTAATTTGGCAAAGTCAGTGATTTACTTTAGTCCGAATACACTGCAGGAGCACCGAACGTTAATGAGGGATATTTTTGGGATCCAGAAAGTGGATTATTTAGGGCATTACTTTGGTTTTTCACTTCACATAGGAAAAAAAGACGATGACTTTTGGTTATCAACGAGATAAAGTATTAACTAGGGTAACATGGTGGAAAAGGAGACCGCTTTCTTATAGGGGATGTGAGGTTTTTTTAAGGCAGTGGTTCAAGCTTTGCCACAATATGCCATGTCGTGCTACTTACTACCGGACCATCTTCTGAAAAAAAATCACCGGTATAATGCGTCGATTTTGGTGGTCTAGTTTGACTGATAAAAGTGATCAGGCTCTCCTGGCTTGGGATAAGATTAGCAAACAAAAATGGGTAGACGATTTAGGTTTTAGAGATCTGAAATCCTTCAATGTTGCTATGCTAGGGAAATAGTTATGGATATTGATTAGTTCAAGTACTTTCCGAATGGTGACTTGTTACATGCTAAATTAAGGGGAAGGGCTCCTATGGCTGGAAGGGATTGTTTAAAACTCTACAGGAATTGGCACCAACCTTCTTTTGGCGAGTTGGGTGTAATAGTAAGGTTCGTTTGTTTGAGGATCCGTGGGGTGCAACGAAACAGATAAACTTGTTAGGTACCTACACTGTCTCTCAGTAGAGGGACAACCGCTGTGGTGATCTCATGTTTAGAGATCAATCACAGTGGGATCCAACCAAGGTTTGTAACACCTTGGGCGAAGAAAGTGATATAGAAACAATTCTACAGACACCGATAGCACCATATACGACTGACAAGATAATATAGGACAATTATTCCTCCGATAATTATTCGGCGAGATCCACTTATTGGTGACTACAAAAATCTACCCATGACATCAACCCGCCTTCTCCATTATGGAAAACAATTGCAAAACTAAAAGTGCCTCCAAAGGTACGTTTTTTTATTTTGTAGTTAGCACATGCAATATTACCTTTGGGATATAAAGTGTGACGTGTAGGTTTGCGTGAGAGCGTCTGCCCTTTGTGTACGTCGATTGTGGAGGCAACATTACACATGTTCAGAAATTGTTCGTATATATGAGAAGTCCTATGACTGGCTGGTATTCCAAGTACAATCTTGAATTCACCAGTTCAGTCCAGTTTAGTCTGGTTAGAAAATGCATATGTTATGCTTGGTTTGGTTCCTTTTGTAGAGCTTGTTGTTTTTCCTTTGGAAAGTTTGGAATGGTCGTAATTCTTTGGTGCACGACGGTAGAATGCAACCTACTTGGCTAATTGTAGTTAATGCTAAGGCTTTGCTTCAAGAGTTATTGGGGCGCATCGAGGACAACCTTCTCAACATTGTGTTACTGATGTGGTTGCTCGATGGCGCCCTACCCGAGGACAAGTGATTAAGTTGAATACGGATGATGCCTATAACCCGTCACTACAGTTGGCAGCAGTTGGGTTATTGCGCGCAATGCGTAAGGAATGGTCCTTGGCGGTTTGGCTACGATTTTGGGTGGAATCCCTGAACCCGTCTTTACATAACTAACTTGTTTAGTTGATGCTATAAACCTTGTTTTACAGTTGGGATGGTGTGATATCCATATCGAACTAGATTCATTCACTGTCGTTAACTGTTATAATGAGCCGGAGGGTGATTTTTCCACCATTGTTGTAACTATGGTTTATATTCGTACTAAATGTATCACTTTTGATAGTTGTTCTATTTCGTATATATCTAGATAAGCGAATAAGGTCTTACATACTTTAGCAAAGAAGACATTGGATTGTAATGCCTTTTATTCTTTTGGGATTAATGCCCCTTGGTTTGTTCTGAATGTTGTAATGGCTTATTTAAATTATGGTTAATAGAGTTGGGCACTCTTTCCCCTTTTAGGACCCCAACCCTCTTATTGGTAGTAGGAATTTTTAACGAGGCACGTTTTCTTTAAAAAAAATATGATATTCACCCTTGTAGCTCTTACACTTCGTTTTCCATTTTAAACATATTTTACAATTATTATGCACAACTGTGAAAATTATTAATAAACATTTAGTGACACAAGTCAAACTAATAATTAGATATTTCTAGTATGATATTTATGATGGAAAATATTTATTATGAATACATTTTTTAATTCAGTTTATTTAATTCATAATATGAGAATTTGAATATATCATCTTATTTAAAACATCTAACCAATGTCAGAATTCAAGTGGAAAAATCAAACATCTCATCTTCTTATTAGGATGAAACATATTTTCTTAAATCCTAATAGTAATAATCAGTGGCGGATTCAGGAATTAAAAAATGGGGGTCCAAAATAAATGAGCAATAACTTACCGACGACTTGATTGAGGAAGTTCACCGGAAAATCGTCGGTGAACGGCGTCGTGGCGGGTGGTTTAGACACAAACAAAAGACTGAGAAATGAGAATTGAGTAGCAGTGGGGTTGGAGTCTGTGAGTTTGAACGTAAAACATAAGCTTTAGTATTAGTAATAGTAATAGCTGAAATGAAAGGTTTTTAAATGATATATATTATTTTAATTAGTTTTTTAATTGAAAATATGTAATAGATTGACATCTTCCGAACACAAATTTCAACTACAAAATAAATTGTGTAGAAAAGAGAACAAATTTCAACTACAAATGTACAGAAAAGTCAAAATATAAAATAAAAAGGGTGTGCAGAAATTTTAAATTTTAATATAGTATATTAAGTGCTGATTTTTTTTAAGAAAAATAAGTATACAAATGGTATCTCATGGGCCACATAGGTCCGCCCCTGGTAATAATTCGTATTTCTTAGATAATTTAACATCATATTGATAATGTAAGATACATTAATTAAATAATTATAAATATGACATAATTTTAATTAGTTATATATTTAATGGATTTAAAATAAAATAAAATAAAAAACATTGTATTTCAATATGCTTCATGCTCAATTCACCAAGGTAAATATCTGTGAGACCAAAATCAATGCAAATCTGAAAACGCCATAACGCTTATCTTTGTCCCTTTGGATTTGTCCATAAATTTAGCTTTTTTACAGATCCCGATGCATTGAAATTACATGGAAAGTGGAAAACAAAAAGCTGTATCCCATGTTAATGTGAAGAAAACATTGTAAACAATGGGTTAAAACAAGCCAAAAAAAAAGGAAAGGAGAAAAAGTAAAATTACTTACTTTTTACTGCCATTCTCAGTGTTTTGAAATGGATAAGGCAAGAAAAACAAGATACTCAACGACCTGTTTTTGACTTTTTGGTAGGAAGTATATGTATGGCTTCAAAGAGTCCACATAATGGCTTTTATCATCTTCATCTGTTTATCAATTCATTATAATTTTCTTCTTTGAAAATCCATTTCTTTCACAACATTGGGGAGACTTCCATGTCTTTTTGAAAAGCTTATTTTAGTTGCAGTGTACAAAAAAGTTAAGCATGCAGAGAGAAAGGGAAAAGATAAATTAACATCAACACACTCTAAGCCAAAAAAAAAAAACTAGGGTTCCCCATTCACTCTCTTTGAAACGCCCAGCCCATTGATTTTCAGGGTTTCGGACCCTAAATCCAAAACCCCAAAAGCTTTTATTTTTTTCCTTATTTGAAGAGAGATGGATAGAGAACGAAGAGCTAATCTATAATAAACACAAAGGGTTGCCTTTTTTTTCTCTTTCGTTCTCCCCATTAATGGTTAATTCATCTTTTTGTCTTCTCTATCCTCTCTCCTTAGTTTGGTTTTGTAACTTGTTTTATAAGGAACACAGTTTATAGATTCTTTTTTTTATGTGATGGAAGTGCAGTTAGAAAGAGTGTTTGTAAATTTGTAGAGAGAAACCGAGGTCAAAAGCTGTGTGCTTGACAGATTATAGAACAAGAATATTTGATGAGTTTTGGGGGATTTCTTGATAACAGCTCTGATGAAGGATTCGGGGGTGCAAGAATCGTTGCAGACATCCCTTACAGCAATAACAACATGACGACCGGTGTTGTCGAGCAACCTCGATTCATGTCTGCTTCTCTTCCGAAGAACATATTCAACTCCCCGGGCCTGTCTCTTGCTCTTGTAAATGCTCACAATCTCAAACCTTGATTATCTTTTTTATTGTTTAGGACTGATCTGGGGTATGTGATGTTTTTTTTGGCAGCAGCAACAGGATATAGATTATCAAGGGAATCATGGGAACAAACTAATGCTAGAGAATTTCGAGGGAAGTGGTGGGAGAAGAAGCAGAGAAGAAGAACATGAGATCAGCAGATCTGGAAGCTATAACTTGGATGGAGCTTCCGGTGATGATCAAGACGCCGCCGACAAGCCTCCGAGAAAGAAGAGATACCAACGACACACTCCTCAGCAAATCCAAGAGCTCGAAGCGTATGATTTCACGTCTCAAACCAATTTTTTTTTTCTATTTTTGAACTGTCATCTTACCAAGGTTTGGTTTTGGTTTAGTCTATTCAAGGAGTGTCCTCATCCCGATGAGAAACAGAGATTGGAGCTTAGCAGAAGGCTTTGCTTGGAAACCAGACAAGTTAAGTTTTGGTTCCAAAACCGTCGTACTCAAATGAAGGTACGTTTTTTTTTTAAGAATCTTCCTTTGGGGAATTTGATTGTTTATGTGAAGTTTAGAACTTAACGAACTTTTTTCTTTTCAGACCCAACTGGAACGCCATGAAAACTCTTTGCTCAGGCAAGAGAACGATAAGCTTCGAGCCGAGAACATGTCCATAAGGAACGCTACGAGGAACCCCATGTGCACTAACTGTGGGGGCCCGGCGATTATCGGTGACATATCCCTCGAAGAGCAACATCTTAGGGTCGAGAACGCTCGTTTAAAGGAGGAGTTAGATCGAGTTTGTGCGCTAGCCGGCAAGTTTCTAGGGCGACCCATTTGGACAGTAGCCACTTCGGTTGCACCTCCATTGCCGAACTCGCGTTTAAGCACAACATTGCCTTTGGGGTTTGATTTTGGGGCTGCAGTTCCTCCTAATAAACCGACAACTGTCGTTACCGGTGTCAATAAATCCGTGGAAAGGTCGATGTTTTTGGAACTCGCGTTGGCTGCGATGGATGAATTGGTTATGATGGCACGGACAGATGAACCACTTTGGATTAGGAACTTGGAAGGTGGAAGGGAAATGCTCAATCAAGATGAGTACTCGAGGACTTTCACTCCTTGCGTTGCCACGAAATCAAATGGCTTTGTCACCGAGGCTTCTCGAGTATCTGGTGTAGTGATTATAAACAGTTTAGCCCTTGTTGAGACCTTGATGGACTCGGTGAGTCATTTGCTTATCATTTTTTTAAAAGTTCGAGCCGTTGGAATTAACTTTTAATCCCTTTATTTTACATAGAATCGTTGGTCGGAGATGTTTCCTTGTATGATTGCCAGGACATCAACCACTGATGTGATATATAGTGGCGTTGGAGGAACCAGAAACGGTGCACTTCAACTGGTAGGTTAATTTTCAAGCCATAATTAATGATCCTTCCTCAATTTACAACGCCTTGTGATCATCTTTTCTTCATTTGTTATAGATGCATGCTGAGCTCCAAGTCCTTTCTCCATTGGTTCCGGTTCGAGAGGTTAATTTCCTAAGGTTCTGCAAGCAGCATGCCGAAGGGGTTTGGGCTGTCGTCGATGTCTCAAACGACACGATCCTAGAAACTTCGGGTGCACCCTCGTATGTGAACTGCAGGAGGCTCCCTTCTGGTTGTGTCGTGCAGGATATGCCCAATGGATACTCCATGGTAAAAAACGAATACGTGGGATTTTTCATTTCCAATCCCCCAACTTTAGGGCTCACGCCTCTAAAGATTCTTGTGTTTTAATTTGTCTAGTGATTACACTGTCAGTGCCTGTTTTTTCCCCCTTCAAACGAACTTATTAACTCCCCATTGTTAAAGAATATGAACCTTGCTTACACAAGTTTCAACAAACGGGTCTGCTTAAACACAATAAAATATCCTGTTGGATCAATAAACTATTGATTTGACGTTTCTATTCTGGTATTTTGATTCTGCCTCGATTATCCCAATGTAGCCATCTACATTTAAGCCATGTAACTGCGTATGACCTGGTTCCAGCACCCGGTTGATGTGTTTGTTTTCTTACTCTAAACCAGAACCCCCTCCTTTTAAGTCAACATCAGTACATATCTCGATGCTCCTTCGAAATCTTCAAAAGATTTTTTTTTTATTTTCTCCATTATTCAATCCCCTTTCAATTTGTAATGTCGCACCACCGGGGAACAAAGCCACAGTGAGGAGAAAGAAGATACCATTTCTTTCATTGAGCCCAATCTTTGAGTCAGTTCCAAGATTTATACAAAAGTCTATTAGTATTTTTGTTATTAAATGCAAATAATTCAAATGATTGTTAGTGTAATTAATCAAAATTTATGCATGGAATGGTCAAAACACAGGTGACATGGGTGGAACATGCCGAGTATGACGAGAGCCAAGTTCATCAACTCTACCGCCCCTTGCTGAGCTCGGGCATGGCGTTTGGTGCCCAACGTTGGGTCGCCACTCTTCAACGCCAATGCGAATGCCTTGCTATCCTTATGTCCTCCACTGTTCCTACCCAAGGTCACACAGGTAACTGATATATATGCTTCATATATATGTCTGTATGATGATTTTTTTTTAACTTTGGATTGTGTTTTTGGTTGTAGGGATAACTGCAGGTGGGAGACGAAGCATGTTAAAGCTAGCACAGCGTATGACGGATAATTTCTGTGCCGGAGTGTGCGCCTCCACGGTTCATAAATGGAACAAGTTGAACGTAGGGCACGTCGATGAGGACGTTAGGGTTATTACTCGTAAGAGCGTGGATGATCCCGGCGAGCCACCGGGCATCGTGCTGAGCGCCGCTACTTCGGTTTGGTTGCCGGTGTCTAACAAAAAATTGTTTGATTTCCTACGCGATGAACGGTCGAGAAACGAGTGGGACATCTTGTCCAATGGTGGTCCAATGCAGGAGATGGCCCACATCGCCAAAGGCCAAGATCACGACAATTGCGTCTCCCTCCTCCGTGCCAGTGTAAAATTCCTATCTCTAATAAGAAAAACATCTGGCGAAGAATAGGGTAATAATTTAGTGACGTAAAAGTCAAACTTAAACTACCAATCTGGGAATTTGTAATTATTTATGAAGATAAAAAGATTTCATGAAATATTACTGTAACGTGTGCTGATTATAAAACTTTTTTTTGAAAGTCAATGTATAGGACTCTTGTAACCTTTTTCACCTTTCATTTTAGAGTCTTCTGATCGAAAGTTTTCCTTTTTTGTTGTTATGTTCTTTTGGGTGCAGGCCATGCACTCGAACCAGAGCAGCATGCTGATACTGCAGGAGACATGCATCGATGCGGCGGGTTCGCTTGTGGTGTACGCGCCCGTTGACATCCCAGCCATGCACGTGGTTATGAACGGTGGTGATTCGGCTTACGTAACTCTCTTACCATCGGGTTTCGCTATCGTCACGGATGATCCTCCGGGCTCTAATGGAGATGCTGATGGGAACGACAGCGGAGACTTCTCTCCGAAAACGGGAGGGTCACTTCTCACTGTGGCTTTCCAAATACTGGTCAACAGTTTACCGACGGCCAAGATCACGGTGGAATCGGTGGAGACAGTGAATAATCTAATTTCGAGCACCGTCCAGAAGATTAAAGTTGCCCTTCAGTGCGAAAGCTGAGTGCCAAAAGCTCACGTGATCCTTTCTTCGGTAATTTTTAGGCTTTTTTAAAAAAGGAAGTGTGTTTGTGTATTTAGCCATTGATTAGGGTTGGATGGTTTGTGGTGGAGAGTGAAAACTGGAGAGCTTTTCCCGTTTTGCGTTTGTCTTTGTGTGCAACTCAGTGAGTTGGAGGGTATTGAGTCAAGAACGAACCGCGCGTGAACAGACATAGACTCCTTGCATGGGTGGTAATCAGCTTATTCGGTGATAGCGCAAATGCAAGGATGGTGGTTCGAGTATTGACTCGGGTTGACCCGTCAACGCCGGGGTTTGCTTTTGGAAACTTAATTTCTAACTTTTTTACAGTTTATCGTAATAAACCAAGTATTTCCCTGTAACATTTGTCTCCAAAACCTTGCTTTTCACGGCGGCTGAGCCTGAGCGAGTAAAACCAACGCGCCACCGATGAACTTAGATTGTATCAGTGTTTTAAGTGCATAAAATGGAAGAGATGAACTGTTGGGAAGAAGCTTAATTTTCATTTAATGTAGAAGACGAGATTATTGTTGATTAAGCGAATGAAACAAAGCCAAGTGTCCACCGATGAACTTTTAAAAAACAAGGTTTTGGACACTTTCATTTTGAAATTAAAGCGATTTTTTACTGGGGGGGGGCAATGAGCACGTTGGTTTAAGGGTTAAAATAAATTTTCTTAAAATTTTTAGTGCTATTTGAAAATGTTTATGTTTTTCTTTAAATATATATATATACAATTTTAGTTTTTTTAATTTTAAATAAAATTTTAAAAGCACCACATTGTGACATATGTTACTTAATGAAAAATTAATGTCGATGGCTAGGGCACCTAAATGGTTATCGTTTATAACATTAGCCACCTGATGGATCAAAAATAATTTAGGCATCTAATTGAGAATTTAGGTATAGTTTGACTTCTTATTTTAGTATTAAGCATTTTTTTAATATAGAAATCTACTAGTTTTATTGAAAAGAGAATAAAAATTAAAATTATAATAGAAATTTACAATTATGGTAATAAATTAAACATATCATTAATTTTTTTTTAATTAATGACAATAAATTAATAATTTGAGAATGTATAAGGACCATCTAAAGAAAATGTTAAATATTCAATCAAAACCCGAGCAAAAGATAGATAAAAATAAAACTGATTGTATCAGTAAATAAGCCACAAATGGGATCAAACTATTAAAAGACAACCAATAAATCGCAAATTAGAATGAAGCTACGAGAAAAAAAACTATCTACGAAAGCAAATCGCGTATCAAAATTTTATTCGATAATCCAAAACAGAGAAGATTAGTTGGATAACAAATAAACATCACTTTGAGTAGTAAAGACAATGTCAAATCAAACCTTAAAAAATAAACAAAAATAGCATTCAAAAGATCGATATCATGCCAAAAAAGTTTAAAAAAACGTGACATACAGACAGAAGAAAATATATCACAATTATATATTTATTAAAAGCTAAAAATTAAAAGAGAAATCTAGATTTAATATAAAAAATAATAAAAATTAAAAAAAATATATGAAATTGACTATCAATATTAAAACTGATGCTAGCATATGATGCTAATAGAAAAAGTAAAATAGCAAACTATTGAAGAGAAAACCCAAAACTACCTCATTTTGGTTGGATATTTAAGTAGCCTTATTATATATGTTTTTAATGTAAAATTTAGGTTATAATTCAATATGTTGAAGATTAAAATAGATAATAATAAATTGAAATTATTTATTAAAAAAACGTTAAATATATTACATAAAATATATGAATTTTGATTGTACGATGAACTGGAGAATGGGTATTCATGAAACGTTAAATCATTCGCGTCAAGAGCCAGAAATATAAAATTTGGACGTGTGTGGGTGACGTGATTTGTGGATCGTCTTGAAGCAATAATAGCGTGGAATGGCCAGCTTCGTCATTTACAAGACTTTGATTTTATGAATAAATCTTTCATTGTAAGGGGAAAAAAAGTTGCTGACTGGTTTACGTATTTCCATCTAATAATTTTTTTATAATTATATGTATCCGATCTATTAATATATTAATCTAAATCGGATATTACAGAAACAATGATGACTCTCTCTCAACCCAGTTTATTTTATTTACAAATATCAGAGCATATTCTAATTTGTTCTTCTAATAAAATAAATTGCAACGATATAAATTTTTGAGTCAACATATAAGAATCGATTCGACATAGTTTTGAGGTAATAAAGGACCTTAATTGGACCAATTGGGTACGTTGGGCTTAATATTTGACCCCAATACTTTTATGGAAATGTTAAGGCTGAGGGACCAATAATGCAAATAACCTATTAGAAAAAATAATTGGGTTGATTCCTCGTGATGTCGTTGTCCAATACTAGAGGGGAAATGCCCCATTTTTTTCACCCAATCTTTCCCTCAACCATATTTGCTTATTCCTTTTCTCACCCACTGTCAACAGTCTTCAATCCTTCTGTTAAAGTTCATACAAGAACTTATCAAAGAGTTGAAGAGAGTACTAAGACTTATCATTCACTAATGAAGTGCAGTACGCTTATATACAAGAGCACTTGTATAAAAGACTTTAACAGCTTGTACAACAGCCTTAACCAACTTAGTTAACAACCTCATAACCAACCTATAACAGACACAACTAAGCCTCTAACCAACTCATACAGCTCACGCACGCACAACTACCAACCATGCACATGAACACACACTTATACTTCAACATTCTCCCCGTTCTTCTCAGTTCTCTCCTTCTCTGCCATCTGTAATTTCTTTCAAAACACTGTATGTGCAGACTTTGCCAAGGGTTTCGTCAGCCCATCAACAATCTGATGCTCTGCAGGCACATAGTTTACTTTAACCGCTCCACAGGCTACTTTCTCACGCACAAAGTGTATATCCAGCTCTATATGATTCGATCTAGCATGGAATCCCGGATTAGCACTCATGGAAACAACACTCGTATTGTCACTCCACACTACAGGAACTGCAACCACATCTTCACCCATATCAGACAACAACGATCTAACCTAGACTACTTCAGTCACTGTGTCAGCAATGCTACGATACTCAACATCTGTTGTCGAGCGAGCCACAGTCTTCTGTCTCATAGCACTCCAAGAAACCAAATTACAGCCGAGAAACACACATGAGCCAGAGACCGACCTACGGTCATCAACGTTGCTGGCCCAATCAGCATCAGCAAATGCAGTCAAGCAGCATGTCTCAGATACGAAGCCGATCTAAACACCAAGCCATAGTCGATCGTCCCACTCAAATACCGTAAAATCCTTTTAACCTCAAGCCAATGGCCATCACAAGGTCGATGCATATACTGGGCTACGCGGTTAACGCTCCTATACATGCTCGCATCTTGAAGTACCTTCCCTGCATCACACGTCAACTTGGGTGTAACCACTATTGGCGTAGGTGCTGACTTAGCATTAAGCATATCCTCTTGCTTCAATAATTCACAAACAAACTTACCCTGACTTAACACCAACTGATCAGCCGACCTACTAACTTCAATACCAAGGAAATAACCAAGATCGCCCAAGTCCTTCAAAGAGAACTTCTTACCAAACAACCTGACAACTTCATCAATAGCACCACTCGACTCACCAGTAATGATGATATCGTCTACATACACCAGAACCAGCGTGCGAACTCCAGCAACCCATTTCATAAACAGCGACGCATTAGCTGTTGTGCCACAAAAGTCCAACTCCAACAAAAACTGGCGTAGCCTGGCATACTACATGCGTGGTACTTGGCGCAACCCATACAACGCCTTTTTCAGCCTACAAACCAATCGGGTGCCATCATTAGCTACTTGTTCAAAGCCAGTTGGTTGCACCATGTAGACTTCCTCACCAAGCTCGCCATTAAGAAATGCGTTATTAACGTCCACCTATCTCAAACTCCATCCCCGAGTCACTGCCAGTGATAACACAGCATTAACTGTGGTAGCCTTCACCACCGGGCTGAACGTGTCATTGAAGTCACAACCCGGCACCTGTGAATACCCTCGAGTCACCAACCGAGCTTTGTGCCTTAGCTCAGAACCATCAGCATTGTACTTAACCTAGAATAGCCACTTGCATACAACTACTGCTCGTCCTTCTGGCAGTGGTTCGAGCACCCACGTACCATTCCTAACCAGCGCATTGTACTCAGCAAGCACAACCTCTTTCCACTTTGGTGGTCGAAGAGCCTGATCAATCGTGTCTGGCTCACTCATGTTGTCTCCAATGTGAGTAGCAAACGCTTTTGGTTTAAAAATACCCCGTTTACTGCGGGTAATCATTGGATGCTTGTTATTAACTAATGAACATGTTGTGCCATCATCTTGACACTGCCCAGACTGACCAACCTGAATCGTCTCATCCAGCAGTAACTCACTAGACTGCTCTACCTGTTCTAGCTCCACATTTGCAACAGTCACTCCTGCACCAGTACTAACACCTTCAATGGACTGACATACATTGCTGCTGGAAGCTCTAACCTCAGAAGCCTCAGGTACCACCCCATTATATACAGGTGCATGCTAAGTTTCTCGTCGAGGAGCCTGATCACGACTTGTATGCACCTGCGAAGAAACACCACATACATGTTGCGCTCTAGGAATCATCATCAATGGCATCTCAGCACTCGAGTTTGACAAAACTGCCACTTCTTTCTTCTCCATATGTTCAACAAACAGAAACATCTGTTCATCAAAGATTACATGACGAGACATATAAATTCGACCATCAGGTGCTAAACAGTGATAGCCACGATGATTTACACTATAACCTACGAAAATACACGGTTGTGACCTATAAGCAAGCTTGTACGGCTGAAACACTCGTAGGTCAGGAAAACACTTACAACCAAACACCCTTAGGTGATCATACGTCGGGGGTTTCCCAAACAACTTCTCAAAGGGAGTATGCCCTTTAAAGACCTTGGTTGGCAGACTGTTAATCAAATGGGTTGTTGTTACCACTGCAAACGACCAGAACTTCAATGGTAGAGAGGCTCGAGCGAGAAGTGTCAATGTCATCTCAAATATGTGTCTGTTTTTTCTTTCCACAACACCATTTTGTTGGGACGTATGTGGACATGTCACCCGGTGTTGAATCCCACATCTAGCAAGCATAGCTGAGAGAGAACAAAACTCACCTCCCCATTCACTCTGCACATCCTTAACCTCCTTACCAAATTGTATACGTACTAGCTGCTGGAACAACTCAAACGCTCGGACTGCCTGCCCTTTCTCTTTCAGCAAATACACCCAGGTGTGCCTTGAATACGCGTCTACAAACGATAC